TGGATGATGGATGGATGGATGATGGATGATGGATGGATGATGATGGATGATGTTGGATGGATGATGAATGGATGGATGATGATGGATGGATGATGGGTGACGATGGATGGACGGTGGATGGATGGATGATGAATGGATGGATGATGGATGGATGGATGACGGGTGATGATGGATGGATGGTGGATGGATGGATAGAATTTGAACACGCCTGCTTTTAGGCATCCATCATAGAGTGCTGCAGCACCATCTGCACCCATACTTCCCACAGCCTTGTGGTTCAACAAGTTACTTTTGCCATGCATTTTAAAATATCATTGAATATATTTTTAGGCAACAAGTGATTTTTCTGTGTAAATTCTTGACTACTATATTAAACATACATTTTATAATTGATTCTGTTGTCACAGTTTATATCTGCTTTTTATATTTAGCTGAAATACATTATTTTAAAGAAAGTTTGTCACAATAAACAAGCAAAAATAAATTACAGTTTTCATGTAGGCCTACACTTCTGAACAAATAAATAAATCAAGCTGCCCCTAAAAAATGTTGGCAATAAATACAGCAAAATTATAATAATTAATAACTTTTTACATTTTGAAAAAAAAAAAAAAAACCCACAAATAAGGCAGAGGACTAATTTAGAGCTGAACTTTCCGCTTTGCTTTGAGTTAACGCTGTGTTTTGGAATGTGACTACACTTGTGACAGATCTCATTAGGGAGTGTGTGAACAGGCAGTTTGTTCCACAGAGCGGGACCAAAGAGGCTAAAAGCAATTATTCCAGGAACAATCTGAAAACCACCACCTGGTGACAAGAGACTTCTGATTGGATTTTAGTGCATGACCAATTTAAAACTGCACAGAGGAGAACAATTTGAACCACTTCAAAGACAAATGCAAATAACACACTGATACCTGTTGTATAATTACAGTCAGATTAAACTCCCTTATTCCCATTTAGGATTTCATGTGTGTGAATCCCTAGAGAAACAGGCAGTGCTGCTGTTTTCACCTCAATGGGTGTGTGACAATATTGTTTTAGGGGCGTGGAGGGAAAGGCAGCATCTACGTCTGGGCATCAGGAGATGGTGGGAGCTATGATGACTGTAACTGTGATGGATACGCCTCAAGCATGTGGACAATCTCCATTAACTCTGCCATCAACGATGGACGCACTGCTCTGTACGATGAGAGCTGCTCCTCCACCCTGGCATCGACATTCAGCAACGGACGCAAACGGAACCCAGAGGCTGGCGTTGTGAGTGTGCTTGCATTAAATCACAAACTATATTGTATATATGCCACGTAAATAAATACACAACTGTAAATTAATGCTCACATGCTGAACATTTGCTATATTTAGAACCCTTGGTTATTAGACTTTGAATATAACTCTGAGTTTTATTTCTAAATAGCAGCTTTATTTTTTTTATATAAAACTGTCATTATCCACAAGCTTTTAGAAGATTGAATGAGACCAGGAAATTGCCAGATGGTTGAGATGAATAATAGAGGGCAGGAAAATCTCCTCTCCGATGATCATTTTACATTTAGATTTTTTTTTTTTAAATAATCATGTAAGACTCAATGGCCTCTCTGTTATGATATATTATTGCAACTCTTGTTCTTTAACATTTCCCTTTTTCATTCTTTTATTGAAAACTGAACCTGCTATTAAGAACAACTGAATAACTCTTGTTGTATGCATTTTTTTTTTCAGTCATGTCAATTTGTGAAACAGTTAAAACATTCCCTGATGTTCTCTTTCTCAAGCGTTAAGGGTTATTCCTTTTTCTTATTTTAGATATTGCTTGATTACTGAGCATCAATACAAAAAGTTAGTTTGGACTTATGATTATCTCGGTTTGAGTCTGTAAACTGCAACAGCAATAAATATATATACATAAATATATGTAAATATATATATAAGATTTTTTCAACAAAGCGACAATGTCCTGGAGAGCCTGCAGGTCCAGCTGAGATGCACGCTGTGGGGCACGTCATGGATTCGTGGGGAGTGTGGCAGCTGATGTGCCTCTCAGTTCTGTCTCAGGAGGATGCTGAAGACATTTACATATTTGGAATTATGACAGCAGGGACTCTGCTTTTTGGCATTGGCTGGACTCTGTTTTATCGACTATTGAAGAAGACATCGGCAGCATTTTCGGCCATGGAAAAGCTTCCGAGTCAGTGTGAAGGTTTGGTCCGTGCTGTAGGAACTCTAAATCAACTGGTTTACGAGCTAAACCGCAAGGTGGAGGCGATTTATAAGAATCGCAGACAAACTGCGGCTTCTGCGACTCGTCAGCGTGGTGGGTTCAACCTTGAGGGAGACTCATAGCATGGATCATTGGAGTGGAATCCCACAATTAAGCCATTTTAGAACCAGAACGTACAGATGGACTCAAGGCTGAAGAAAAAAAGGAATCTGTCTGCCTGAAGAAAATCAACATTCAAAGCTTATCTGAATCTGACTCCCGACGGCCTCGGAGCGGCTATCAATTTTCTCTTGGGTCATGGGTAACCAAGGACAAAAGCTTCATTTATCGCACCCCCCGAGAACTTTCTGTGCAAACTTTTCAGAACTGTCTGCTGAAACAACATCTTCAGAAACTGTGGCCGATCTGAAAAAAACGCTCATGGACAAATCTCAACACCTTGTCGTCCAATGCATATGTAATCATGTTTTAATTGTGCTGCTGGTAGAGTTTTTTTTATAAATGTCTCAAATCGTGTCCTGATAGACAAGATGTGAACAATCTTTCTTTGTAATACCGCTACCTACCCTCATGTTTCTCCCCCTTTTCCTATCTAAGATTATAATTCAGAAAAAGGATAAGAGAGGCCGCGCTTACAGCAGCAACTTCAAGCACTCCGTCTATCTTCCGGACGACTGCATGTACATGTTCTCGTTGTATCTCGGTGCAATGATAATAAAGCTTATTCTGATTCGTGGTTCCTGGGACATTTTACTAACAATAACTTAGACCCTAAACATTTAGTGCTAGAGTCTCAAGAAAAGATGTTGCACACTGAATGGGGCTTGGTGTATGTCTGTAATATTTCTAAGCTACAACCGCACCAATTTTCATGATTTTTTTTTTTTAATTGACAAAATTAAAGCCATTTTTGTTCTTTCTAAGATTGGTTTTCTGTGGCAGCCATCTTAAACTGGAAGAGCTCCAACCAATAACCACTTATGTCCAATGATTACTTCCTGAATGTTTTATTAAAATCCACCCTGCGGTTCATGAGACATTTTACTAATGGATGGAGTTGACTCCAAATACGTAATGGCAACATTTTCAACAAAGACATCATTATGATTAACACTTATATTATTTGTTGTGAATAATTCTCAGCAATGTCCACACTCAATTCTAGCTCAACATTTGCAAAACTGAGCAAATCTTTACTTTTTTTTTGCATCATTAAAGTTGGGTGGAAAAAGTCCAATTCAAAAATGAGTCACTTGTACATTTTATCCCCCTCCTTTTTCTTTCAACAGCAGCCAAGAAAGGATAAAGAACTCTTTTTGTCCACTGAGGCTTCTTCTTTATTTTTATGATAAAAATCCAACAAAATGAACATCAAAGTCACTTTAGAGAATTATAACAAATAAGAATTACTGACAATCCCAGAAGGAATTAGTGAGGTTAAAAGTCGAAGCTTACTTTCATTAAAAGAGATTGTGTGACCTCATTCAGAAAAGAAATGCTTCTTCCATTTCCAAGAATGCACATGAGATCTACGGACCGACAGTCTGCAGCAGGCCCATTGGTGCAGTCTTCAGTGATTATGTAAATCGCTTCTGGCTGTTGACAAAGCATAATCTTCCCAAGGGTTCCCCCCTAATTGCAGTTAATCTCTTCTTCTTTCTAATAAGGTCCATATTTAATAATAAAAATAATTATTTATTTGATCAATTTGCAGCAGTTAAATTAACGTATACTCTTCTGTCTCAAAATACAACAAATCCATACAGATAAAAACAATATATAGCATATGTAAGCTGAGACTACTCCTGCATGCATTAGTAGTACTTGCATAGACTTGCACTACTACCGTGCTAAACATATGTTTGCTTCACTTTCAAACAGTATTTGATCTGTTTAGTGTATTACTCAATGCATATGACTCATGAGCGATGATCGTTTGACCATACAGTTCTGACCCTTGGAAAATTAGTTTTCCACATTTGCCTTTGGTATACAGTTTTGCGGTTTTGGGTTGATACATATTAAATTCAAACTTTTATTCATTTTATTTGCATACATTAGTGATACTTGTGCCATTTAAATGGTGTCTCATATTATCTGAAACAAGTCTATACATCCACACTGTATTTGTGATATATGAAGAAACTGTACAAAAAAAATAAAAATAAAGACAATTTTAAAACATAACTTTCTTTGGACACACTAATAGTCGTATACACTTGCACATGAATAATGCTTACAGAACAAAAGTCATAAACATTTTATAACCATAATAAACCAATTTAAAGTGCATGTCGTCTCTCTTACCTCCCAATAGTGGATGAATCTCCTGTTTAATGCTGATCATACACCCCTGTGTGATGTCACCTCCGTTATGTAATATAATTTTTGTAGTAGACTTTAACCCATTGTAGTAGCACCCTCAGCTTTGCTATATAAAATTCAAGGCAAATGTGAAATGTGATGTGCTTCAAACTCTAACTTAAACCCTTGCTTGATTTGTCCTTTTTCTAAAAAAATGTGTGGTTGTATTATTTCAGGCCACCACAGACCTGTATGGAAACTGCACGCTGCGTCACTCTGGAACATCGGCAGCAGCGCCGGAGGCAGCAGGCGTCTTTGCTTTGGCTCTTGAGGCTAAGTGTGTACTCTGCAGACCCTTTCACAGACCTGGTGTAATTGTGATTATTGATTTAGATGGCCTGTCTGCATAAAGCATTATTAGGTTACTTCATTCAGCAACACTCAGCTGAAGAAGGCGGCAGTCAGAGGGTACAATTTGTGTAATAATTCCTTTGAAAGAGAAACCTTGAGCTTTCGTGCTGATGTGGTAAAATTCTTGGCTTCCCCTTACAACATCAAGGCTAAAATGAAAACGCTTGAAAACTTCTGTCCAGTTTTTTTCAGCACTGCCTGCATGCTTAAACCAGCGATCCCATGCTTTACTGTGAAACAAACAGTAGAAAATCTTCAGGATGAATTGTTCTCTCTGAGCTGCAGTGCTTCATTTCTCACATTAAAGGGCAACAAGTCCGTAGCCATTAACTCACAGCAGCTGATGGAGCTGAGTAAAGAAACACTGTTTGCTGTGCACACACAGTAATGATGTTGCTGTTGTGAGGACCGGATGTTCACCCTGTCCGACTGTAAATAACCCACAAGCCTTTTTACTGCTCAAACGCACTTGAACCAAGCACCAGCAGGAGCCAGTGAGACAGACAGAACAAAATGTCTCTAAAAATAGACAAAATAATAGAAGGAGACAGGAAACAGACATACCGTATGTGATGTTATTTAGATAGATGAAAACTTCACTTAAAGATAAATCCTCTCCCATGTGCTCTAGTACCAGTCTACCTCAAACCTTAATACTTTTATACCCATGTGTTTGTCCTCTCCAGCCCTAACCTGACATGGAGAGACATGCAGCACTTGTCCGTCCTGACCTCAAAGCGAAACCAGCTCCACGATGAAGTCCACCAGTGGAGGAGGAATGGTGTGGGCCTCGAGTTCAACCACCTGTTTGGGTACGGCGTGCTGGATGCTGGGGGCATGGTGAAAATGGCCAAGGACTGGAAAACTGTACCGGAGCGTTTCCATTGTGTTGCTGGATCCATCCAGGAACCCCAGTGAGTTCTATTTCCACTAGTTTTGTAGTTTCTGCAACACACTGCATCATGTACACATTGCAAATTGTTGTTTATTTTTTTTCAAAAAAATTGCAAGGAAAACCCTGCAGTGCATTGGAGACACTGATCTAATTACTGAATAATGCCTGTGCGACCTAATTCAATAAAACATCTGCAATGAGAGCATCCACTTAACATCTCTTGCATAATAAGATCTGCTGCTCAGTCTTACAGTATCACAGATAGAAAAGAAAGGAAAATGTGTTTGTTTGTTAATGTGTTGATGGTAGCAAATACCAGAAAAAAGGTTTTATATACAGATATATTCAGTGTCATTTGCTGTCTGTTGCCACTCAAGGGTGGAGTTTGTATGTTCTCTCCGTACATGCCTGTTTTTTTGGGGGATATTACGGTTTCCTCCTACAAACCAAATCGTGCATGTTAGGCTGATTGGTAACTATATTGTCTCTAGGTGTGAGTGAGAGAGTGAATGGTTGTTTGTCTTGTTTGCCTTTATGTGTCCCTGTGATGGACTGGAGACCTGTCCAGGGTGTCCCCCGCCTCTCGCATAGTGACAGCTGAATATGGGAACCAGTGACCTCTGCAACCCTGAAAAGAAGAAGTGGGTAAAGATAACAGATGGATGAATATTTGCTGGTGTTTTGTCTCCTCTAGTGGAGTGAATATGGGGTATTGGAAATACCCTCTGTCCATCTGTTTATATCGTAAGCATTATAATTTGAAAAATAAGTGAGGTACTCCAACAATGTTCAGTCAGGTCATCTGGATGGTTTCATTTTTTGCTGAGGCATTTCCGAAGGACTTCTTTAGTCCGAGAAGCCACAAACAACCTAGAGTCCCACAAATACCACATTCCCATAGTGGGGAAAAAACAAACAAACAGTTTCCTGGTGACAAGATGGTTTCTGGGGCCTTCCCTCTCCCCTGTTAACTCCTCTGAGGCTGTCATGCCAGTGAGCTACTGATTACCTGTTTGGTTTTTGGCTGCACCTAGGATTAAGGAAATTTCCATTCTAAAATTGGGTTGCCACGTCTAAATCCAAGATGGTACCACCATAAATGTAGATAAACTCATCGTCCCAGTAAATTGAGAAAAACTATGCTTTTTAGTATTTATATTGCTTAAAACTATAATTTCCTCAAATAACTGTGGTAGCTGAAGCTTAATCTATGGTATCCACTTTTGCTAGTGCAAAGGTGTACTTGGATGTTTTACCTTAATTTTAACACACACAAAAGGTTTTAACTACTGTTTCTTTTCACTGTCTTAACTTTAATGTAATAAACTTAAAGGTGAATATTTTTGTGAACGAAAATAAAAAAAGAATAGTGGCAGAAAATGTATTATTAAAAAGTTTAAGTGAATTTAAAAGTAACGTAATTGCTACGTATACCAGGTGTGAGAAAGAAGCACATAGCTTCTTTTGCATTTGACAAACCCTTATAAACTAAACAGTTGATTATTTGTCCGAAGGTAGATACCAAGTCTTAGATTACTGAAGAGTTCTTATTTATTTATTTTTATTCATTCAACCTTTATACAGATCAGTCTCATTGAGTCGCGAGGACTCATTTACAAGAGAAAGACTAAATGAGATGATTGTTAGGGAATTTTTGGTCAAAGTTTATTGCTGTTTTTAACTACTATGGCTGACAATTTTAACTCTGCCCATGAATCATATGTTTGGGTTAGTAGAAATAATAATACTGTATAACGGTAATACTGTATAATTTTTGCTGTTTCATTTTGGATTTTATTTGTGAAGTTTTTACTGTTGTAACGTTAGGAAAGTGACCCTATTATTTTCCTACCGTATAATGCTGACAGTTCATCTAAGCTCTTTTAAAGTCCTCCTGAGTCCAGTCTGCCATGACTGATCAGCTGATAAGTCAGAAACTATAAATTATGGATCAGCTGAACATTCTTAACTTGCAGGGTGCAAAACTAATCTCACGCGTTACATGGAATATAGAAACAGGGCAACTTTTGTTACGGAGGAGTGCTAATAGAATTTTCTTTGGTGTGAAATTTGGGTTTTGTGATTTCGCAGACTTTTTACTTGCATAAAATCCAAGTGACACAATGAAAGAAAAGGAACATGGCAAATGGTATTGTCTTTTTCAAATGAGTGATTTAAATCTGCAAGAAAATGTGAACATGTGTTTATTTTTTGCTGCTCATGTTACACTTCACCAAAGTCAGTCAATAGCTAAATTTATTTTTGTGAAACGGCAGAAAAATTAAGATAATGTTCCTATTTGCTTAAATTTTTCACCACTCCCTGAGAAACTATTTATGCCACATTATTTAACATCAAGACTGAGTTGTAGTTTTTTAAATGCTGCCCTTCTCTTTCATAGATGGGCCTGTATTTAATACATTTTTCCCTCCATCTTTCCTGCGTCAGTTCAATTTTCATTCAATCTTTATTTATACAGGATAGTCTCATTGAGTCACGAGAACTTATTTTCAATAAAGAACTGTTTTAGACAAACCATAGATAAGGTACACTCAACAATAAACCACCATAAAATGCATATAAAATAAAAACAAATAATAAATAAAAGTAGTGATATGAAACACAATAAAAACACGTTAAAGTAGGAAATAAGGTAAAATACTAATGATCCTAAAAACAGGAACATGTCTACATTGATTTTTGCATTGAACTGCATTGTTTAAAATCCTTTACAGTGGTCAAAGTCGACAACTTCAGATCTTTTTGTAAGGTGTTCCAGGAAACAGGAGCAGAGTAAGAAAAGGCTTTTTTGCCGAGTTCAGTCCGCACTGATGGGACGCTGCAGGTAATGATGTCTTGCGAGCGCACGCTGTAGTTGCACTGACGACGTGACATGTAGGAGGAGATATATGAAGGCAACAGAGCAAGAAGTGATTTAAAGATGAAAATGAGAGCGTCTGTGTGAAGTTAATGATGTCCAGTTAACCAGTGAATACAGGGTGCAGTGGTGGGCACAGTAGTTACAACCAGTTATGAATCTTAGCGCGCTGTGATAGACAGCGTCCAAGTGCTAGTAGCAGCATTCATGTAAATAATGTCACCGTAGACAATGGGAAGGAAAGTAGCAACTACAAGGTGTTTCCTTGCATTCAGGGTTAAACAGGATCTATTTCTGAAAAAGAAACCCAGTTTTTATTTCAATTTCTTTTATCAAGTTTTCAACATGTGGTTTGAAAGAGAGATGCGCATCAACCAGGATTCCCAAGTATTTGTACAAATCCACAAACTCAATAGGAACACAATTTGTACCTCCTGTTGCATCAGTTTATCTTTTCCTCTCACCGTCTTCATCTCCACTTTTCATGTCCTCATCTTGTTTTGCCTTTCCTCTTTTTGAAAGCCTACATTTCCTTTATGTTGACAGTTTTCTTCTTAGCTCCTCTCATTTCCATTTCTAACTAATGCTTTTTTAGAGGCTTTACAACCGAGCCACCTTCATGTGTCCTGACCCTGAGCTTCAATATGTGGTTCATAGAGGTTTCCATCTTTTTTCAGTTTCAAATAAAGCACCACCGAATTTCATCAGTTGAGTTTACCCGGCAAGCATTATTTGACCTTCATTTCATAATCAAGAGCATGGTTCATAAGACAAACAGCACCATTATCGCACATCTGCTGGTGATTAATCACAGTCAGAAAACATTTAATCAAAACGTTCAATGCATCACAAGGTTAGAAAAATAATCCATTTTCATATCAACCAATTAAATTCTGTCATAGCAAAGCATACACATTTTTAGGACTTTTCTAATATATGTACAGTAGTCCCCCACTTCTTTGCGGTTCGTTTTTCATGGATTCGATCTTTCACGGTTTTTCAAAGTAAGACTGGACATTGACACACAATTGGCTGGTTGATGGATGAGCCACATGATTGGCAAGGATTTTTTAATTTTAAATGAATTATTTTAAATTATTTTGTACCTGCTGCACCTGTGTGCAGCCCACATATGCAGGGAGAAGCTCTCTCCCGCAGCATGTCATGATCTCCGCTCTGCCGCGGAGACGTGGGCGTGGCCAAGAGTGCTAGATCATGACATGCTGTGCTCTTTTAGAGCGTTTAGAGTTTAGAAACATTGTTTAGAATATTGCAAGAGTGTAGGAAGAGTTTAAAACACCTTTATGTATATATACATATATAATATATACATATATATATATATACATATATAATATATACATATATATACATATATAATATATACATATATATACATATATAAAAATCTAAAAAAATCTAAATGACCCTAACAGATTCTGGAAAACAATTAAATCTC